ACCTGTCTGTTTTTCTGGCGGACCCGATCAGACACTTCATTGCTCTCTATACACCCACCAGCATCTGATTCGATCATGTCCACTAAAAACAGACGGATGGGGATCCATTCCTCCTCCATCTGGCTGATTGGATAGGATGACAGTCAGATGGAAATGGACAGGCAGTCCGTTTCCATCTGACAGCCCATAGAGGACAGCAGGCTATGTCTGCGTCCTCTCTGCATAAGCGAAGCAGACAGAGACCTGCCATCCGCTTGCACAGCAGGGATCAGCGGGAAGATTCCCTGCTGAGCAAGCGGATAAGCTGAAGAGTCCGCCCAGTGTGAAAGAGGCTTATCTGTTTTGTGAAATAAATAGACTTTAATGTCACCTTTACTGCTTGCCTACCCGCCACAATACATTGGTAAACAACACAGGGCTCTCTACAGACAACAGTGATGTGCTGTTTTTTTCTCCTTGCAAAGCAGGGAATAAAAACCAGCACATTGCTTAGTAAAACAGCACACAGTACACACAGTAAATATTGTCAGGCACATATTTATTCCATTGATTGCCCTAGATGTTAACCCCTTCCCAGACAGTGTCATCCTATATAATAATTAGTACAGTGACAATGTATATTATTGGCACCGATCACTGTATTAGTGTCACTGGAGATGTCTGTCGCAGTTAGCCAGTCCCCCCCAGTGTCATTCAGTGTCAGATTGCCCACTGCACTATGCAGTCCCACTATAAGTTGCTGATCGCCGCAACTACTAGATGCTATAACTTTCACGCAAACCAATCAGTATACACTTATTGGGATTTTTTTTTACCAAAGACATGTAGCAGAATACATTTTGGCCCAAAATGTATGAAGAAATTTGATTTTTCTTACATTTTATTGGATATGTTTTATAGCAGAAAGCAGAAAATTATTGTTTTTCTAATAACTTTGTGTTTTTTTTCATTTATATCGCAAAAAAAAAAAAAAAAAAAAAAAAACCCATTGGTGATCAAATATCACCAAAAGAAAGTTCTATTTATGTGAAAAAAAATGGTATAAATTTTGTTTGCGTGCAGCATTACATGAACACGTAGTTAGTAGTTAAAGTAGCACAGTGCTAAATAGCAAAAAATGGCCTGGTCATGAAGGTGGTAAAATCTTCCAGGGCTCAAGTGGTTAAGCATTTTCTTACAAATAGTATTGCCTAATTAAATAGCATGTCTTTCACTCACCGGGACTGATTTCCTGGACAAAATGAAAACTGAAAAGTAAAGTTGTACATGTGTGCTGCATAGAAGCCTGATTTAATCAATGTAGTTTTGTTTAGCTTGGCTCGGTTACAACAGATTAGCCACTGAGTATCATAAGAACTCCTGAACATAACAATATGCATTCCGTTGCACATTTCTAAGCACTTTCCCATGGACGCCTTATAATATAAGTGTGATGTACATGCATGTTTACTATTCTGTTATCTGTTGCTCTTGGGTAAATCAAACCACATACTGTTTTCTTTTTATGGAGTTTAAGAATCCAGAAGAACAGTTGCAGATTTCCAAGAGGAAATAACAAGCTTCTTTAAAACACCAAATAAATAGTATATTTATTAAACTTTCCATCAGAACACACCTCATTAACTTCCAACCAGCTTAGGGCTTTTAAAATCCCTCAACAATCTTCTACACCAAAAATGGAGTCATGAAAGCAAATGATTTCCATCCAACATTATACAACTGTTGAAGGCTTCTGAAGTCCTCAGGTGCAAAGCCTGGCATAGCGAGATCAGTAATTTACTGTATGTGCGTTTGGCAACCTAGCAAGTGTTTCCATGGAGATGGGTATAGCACTGTGGTACTGTCATATTCTGTCATTTTCTATGGAAATACAGCACGGGCTTACTATTTTAGGGATGCATGCAATTGATACATTTATGAGTCCCTAAACACTAATCATCGCATTTACTACGTGACAAGCCAACTAAACTGATTATTAGCAGCACATAATTAGAGACTTTTTAAATTAGCTCAAAATTCTACAGCACTGTTTTTAACTAGTGGCCTTTTAGGACAAGGTCGACGATTGCATAGAGAAAGGTGATAGGTCCTCAAAATGGTCAATGGTTTCCTGAGCTGAAATGGGATAGAGGAGAGGTAGGAGCAATAACAATTTGCATGGGCCCCATGGTATGCAAACCTTCAGTTAAAGCAAGAAAATTAAAAAAAAGAGAGAAATAATCACTTCCCCTATTAAAACATCTACAATACACATGATAAGAAAAATATGAAAATCATGAAGAATAATCTACAATTCTACGCCAAATAATGTGTAGTGTATCCCTTACAGTTAGACACAAACAAATCATTCATTTTATTCTGAGATCAGAAGTACAGAAGATAAAAAGCAAAACAAAAAACCCCCCAAAAAACAACAAAGGCTCTTCTGAAAGAGGAAGAATAAAACAAGAACAAACAGGATATTACTGGGGGTAGGCATACAAGCAGCAAGCCAGTGGGAGAAGTGCCAGGAAATTCATGCGTATAATAGATGTGGATACCTCCCAATTACTTAGGAGCCAATGCCATATAAGATTTAGTCTGCTCCAATACGGGGAAAGTGGGGTTGCTCTGGATAGGCATAACAGAATAACAAATATTTTGGCCAGTAAAATTTTCATCATGCATATATTTCAACTGAGTATTTATTGGTTTTCCTGAGTTTAGCTTTAATTGAAAATTGTTTTTAAGAATAATATTTAGCTACTGTATATATATGTTGTTGGTGTATTTTTTTTTAAATACACAATTTAAATGTTAAATGTCTGTTAAATGTCTGCTTTTTAACATGTATGCTTGTTGCAGGCAATGAGGTCTGTTTCACACAGTGTAATGTTTCTATTTGTTCTAAACCAGACCTAGCCATTACACACAATGCAGTTCCATCCAACAACAGCAGCATTTTCTACACTCATGCATTATTCTGTCCCATTACTTTTGGTCCCTTAAGAAGTGGGAGGCACATATGCAAACTGTTGTAATTCCTACACCGTTCACTTGATTTGGATGTAAATACCCTCAAATTAAAGCTGACAGTCTGCAGTTAAAGCACATCTTGTTCGTTTCATTTCAAATCCATTGTGGTGGTGTATAGAGCCAAATATGTTAGAATTGTGTCAATGTCCCAATATTTATGGACCTGACGGTATATATATATATATATATATATATATATATATATGAAACAGCCCTTGGGATACAGAGTACAAATAAATAATTAATAGCAATAAATTGTAAATAATTATACAAATATGTATTTTAAAGTAAATATTTCTTATTTTATGGCAATAACATGGTTTAGGTAGATTTCTGCCACTCACATGCTGTGTCACGCCCCTCCAGCGTGTGTCTTAGAATAATAAGGAGGTAAAGCCTCCGTCCATCAAGACATAATATCCCACCCCCATTGTGTGCTGGTTAGCGTACATGGAGGAGCCACATGTGTGACTCTATAGTCACATGGGCTGCTCAGATGTGACAGGGAGGAAATCCTCAGAATATAACATACATTGAAAACTGAACATATGCACTAGCTGCCAACACTGCTCTGCAACATCCCCAGCTGCAGGGGGACACGGATAGGAGGGAGATAGAGAGCAGCAGGATCAACAGACTTTTGCATAATACAGAAAAAGAATCCCATAGTGACTGAGTGATTATGAACATCCTGTATTACAGCATGTACTGACAGTTTTGGTAATGATGTGCATTTATTGATACTTTAATTTCAATTAAAAAAATCTTCCCTGAAGAATATATGTACATTTGACATACTTTATCCATTGTTTTACCTGTAAAAGCTTTTCTTTGTGTAGACATCCAAAAGCCATGAGACTGCTGCTGGATGCTGCCACCTCTGATGTGATGTCAGCAGCCCCAACAGACTGCAACACAGTATAGTTTTCCACTACATAAATGGCTATGTAGGGAGGCGCAGGAAGGGGTGGAGGAGCTGGGTCAGCATAGAATGTAATTAGACACTCCCAGAAGAAGAGAGGGCTATCGTGCACAAGGAAGGAGGTGGGTGCACATTGAAAAGCAAATTCCAAGTAAACAAAAGATTACTAATGAAAAGAAAAATACTGAAAGCAATTGCAAGTGATGTGTCTGTGGTTTTACCTGCAATTATTAAAGTTGGTGGCAAGGACTCTTTAAATGTGTAATTGTATGTCATTTAGAGACTTCAGAAAAAACAGTGTGTGCAATCAACAAAATAATTGATTTTACTTTTTACAAATGGTTTTATTGATTGCTGTATAGTTTATTCCCCCCTCCAACAAGTGTGTTAGTAAATAGAATGGCAAAATGGAAACAGGAACATCACATTGGGTTCTAAATGTGATCTATAAGATGATGCCGTAACCAAATATGCATTACAATATTATGGTGCATTCTGCCAATTTTTATCAGCATGAGCCAGCACCAGATGGATGTTATCATGCTGATCAAGACTTCATGAGTCTAAAATCTCACATCCTAAGGAAGTGCACAATGCCAGAGCAGTTTACAAAGCTAATCATATAACAATGCTTGGCAACAAAGACAAAAAAGCTCTGTATGAAATAGTGCTGCGTTTTTGCAATTGGTACTTCTTCTGTGTTGCCATAGCGATATTTAATTACACCATTTAATGTTATTGTGTATTTACAGCTGTAAATAAGATTTTGGCACACAGAAAAGTGCATGCATTATTGGATTTTACCATCCATCTGCAGACTTGACAGCCATCCAGTATCTAGTATGACACATAACTGTAATTTAAAAATAAAGGCATCCTATTACTATTTTTATACTTCTTAGAAACTCAAATGTTTCGATGAACAAATATTACTGGCGCAGGTGATAAGGAACAGATGAAATACACTATATTGCCAAAAGTATTGGGGCGCCCCTCCAACTCATTGGATTCAGGTGTTCCAATGCCTCCATGGACACAGGTGTATAAAATCAAGCACCTAGGCATGAAGAATGCATCTGCAAACATTTGTGAAAGAATGGGTCACTCTCAGGAGCTCAGTGAGTTGAAGCGCGGTAACTTGATAGGGCGCCACCTGTGCAATAAGTCCATCCGTGAAATTTCCTTGCTACTAAATGTTCCACGGTCAACTGTTAGTGGTATTATAATAAAGAGAAGCAACTGGGAACAACAGCAACTCAGCCACCAAGTGGTAGGCCACAAAAAATGTTAGAGCGGGGTCAATGCATGCTGAAGCTCACAGTGCACAGAAGTCATCAACTGTCTGCAGAGTCAATAGCTAAAGACCTCCAAACTTGTGGCCTGCAGATTAGCACAACAACAGTGTGTTCAGGGACATGCGGCCACATGGATGTCAAGTTGGGAGCACTGGCTGTGTCCATGTATGGGACTGCCTGCACAGGAATGCATGGAACACCTGTGCACCTGCTGTGTCCCAGTTGACATCAATGGGACTGCCTGCATGGAATGCAAGAACACCTGTGCATCCCTCTGCAGCTAAACATGGCCTTGCTGTAGTATGCCCTGCATGAACGAGGTCTTAGGTTTTGCTTAGACTTGCGGTTGGGGGCAGCAAAAATGTGAAATCGAGCTGCATGTTTGCCACCTGCCAAACGCCCTCCCCCCCTTAAGCTGCAGTAGACAGTGGACAGGGTGCTGATGCCGTTATGCTTCACACCCACAGCAAAGTTGACCCAACTTGTAGTGATACCCTCTGCAAAACACTACACAGTTACATCAACGGGGAGGCCCCCACAAGTACCCCGCAACCTCATGCAATGCATGCAGTTGCGGCACAATTGTTGGCAAAATGGGGTTAAAACAACCAATGAAGAGGCATCACATTGCTTCCTCACTGCCTGTCAATAGCAACTGGAGAGAGATCTGAATGTGGATTGGGCTTCAGAGGCAAGGGAGTTTTAGACACATGTCTAAATCTACCATTACTGTGTTTTTTATGTTTATTTTGCTTTAACGTATTAAAAAGTTTTTTGTACAGGTACATTTTTATTTTTAAAATATTTTTTACATTTTTTGGGGATGTGGTTGGAGAGACACTTTAGGGGTCTAAACAGACCTCTATTGTCTCTTTTTTGAAACAGAGAAAGGGATTGAAGGCGGTCCCTTTCTCTTCAGCCTGAGCTGAATTGTATATGAATGAAATAGGAGTCTATATAGTCTGTAGGAGTCTGGATCTATACTTTTTGTATTCCTTCAAGATAGGAAGGGGGCTGGTAGACACGTTTACCAGCCCCCCTACTCTCTATGCTCGCAGCGATCTGTCAACGGCTGCAGTCAGCGGAGGGAGGGTGGGCTAGCAGCTCTAGGGAGGGGGCACCCTGCCATCAGGAAGGTGAGGGGCACTGAATGGGGGTGAGAGCAATGTGGGGGGGATCTATCTTGACCAGTTGATCCCTGTCGAGCCCTGCAGCACTCAAAGTCGGAATGAGGGCAGAGGAGGGAAGCCGACAAGATGATTGGGGTTTCCGTGGAGGGATCAGAGTAGCGGGGGTGAAGCTGCAGAGAAAGGGAGCGTTAGAATGGTGGTGGGGGGCATTTTAGATGACTAGCACAGGTGGGTAGAGGGGCAGGACACATAGTGGCAGAGAAGCGGCAGCAGGAGCAGGGGGATCACATTTTAGGTAAATAACTCTGATCAGAGTCATCAGTTTGCTCAGCAGCGTCTGTGGAAAAATTCTGCTATAAAGTCATGGTCATTGAAGTGACCATGAACTTAAAGCAGAGGAGGAATGCAGGTCCATATGGCATAAGGACCTGTCCAGCTGGAAGCAGTGCTGTAGGTCCGTATGTCGTATGGACCTGACAGTGATAGGTTAAATGTAAGGATCCACAGGTAACTATGGCTCACTGCCTCTGGATCTGCTTGTTTCTTTACACCTTCTGGAAGGATATGATTGCCTATACATGTTGTACATAACAACACGTCTCCATATCCTTTGAGCCTTTGGTGCTACTATTTGTTTTTTTATGACTTAACTAGTGTTGTCAACTGCTTAATCACATTGCACACTGGATTTACATTTGCCAATTAACAGCTAGGAGATGTATCATGAAAAACTGTTTTTCACAAATGTCAATCAAAGTGTCTATAATCCTCTGGGAACTAAAAATTGCTAAACCTAGAAAAACTAGTAGCAGAATTCAACAAATAGAAAAAAACAACTACATTTTTCAAATGTTGGAAATACTTGTGTTTTCATTTACAAAGGAAGAAATACATAATATAATGTATACTTTCAAAACACTACCTGGTATCCACTTGTGCTCCGGAAGATTTGACCCCTTCATGACCAGGCCATTTTTTTATATTTAGCACTGTGCTACTTTAACTGGTAATTGTGTAGTCATGCAACTATGTACCCAAACAAAATTTATATAATTTTTTACACAAATTCAGCTTTCTTTTGGTAGTATTTGATCACCACTGGGTTTTTTTTACTTTCTGTTATAACAATTTTTTACTTTCTGCTATAAAACCTATCCAATATAAAAATTTTAAAAAATCAAACTAATTCATAAATTTTGGCCAAAATGTATTCTGCTACGTCTTTAAAAAAAAATCCCAGTAAGTGTATTTTAATTGGTTTGCATGAAAGTTATAGTGCCTGCAAAATATGGTATATACGTATACTGGAATTTTTTTTTTTCTACTACTAATGGCAGTGATCAGCGACCTATAAAAGGACTATGATAGTGCAGCGGGCAATCTGACACTAAGGCCCTGATTTACTAAAGTGCATAAATGGTGTCTAGACGCACTTCCGTAGGCTACTTTTCATTGGAATCCGTCTACTTTTAGATGACAGACATTTACTAAAGAAAGAGTCTAACAAATAGACGCAAAAGCGAATTTATTAATGGCCACAATAAAGGAATCCATATAAAAAAGCAGGTGTGGCGGTGGGGTCACTTAGGTGAGATTCAGTTGAGGAGCCACCCTACTGTTGCTTTCTACTATCCCCGTCTCCCAATCCCCTCTCTTCTCTCTCTTCTCCTCTTTTGCTTTCCTTTTCGCTGGCTTTTTTTCTTTCCCTTTTTTTTTTCTTTTTTTTTTCTCTTTCTTAAGTTTACATTTTTGGTTGTATGGAGTTCTCTCATATTGTTTCAGACATCTCGCCTGGGCATACCCCCCTGATACTTTATTATGTTATACCTCCGTATTATAAGTTATTGATCCTTCCCTCTTCCAGTTTTACTGCATCATTTTCATACATCCACATGGATCATAACCACATCTGTGATGTTTTTTTGTTTATCTACTTGTATATGTTCTTTATACTTCTCATGCTATGTCTGTTAAATTTATGCAAAATAATAAAGCCAAATTTGCCTTTAAAAATACTTCCTAGAAGCATGTCTATAATGGAAATGTCTTGCGAGCCAGAAAGTAGACAAAAACTCCTTATAAATACACTCTATTAATGGATCGGAAACCTATAGCACATAACACCTTTACCAATGTGATAGACCGCAAAAATAAAATATATAGTGTTGCGCTTTTTTCCCAAACCTCAAATCAATATATATTTGAATTTGATCTCTATTTTAAAGATTTCAGTAATTAAGAATGATGTGTAGAATAAACTTATATACTAATATTCTTATACTTTGAATTAATAAAAATATTTTTAATGTGCATGAAAAATAAACTGCAAATTAAATAACAAAAAATCAAAATATGACAAAATAATAAAAAATAAAAATGCCAAAAAATAAAAATGATGGTCCAAAAAAAGTGACTTTTTGCTGAAAATCTTCAGTTTACAATGATTGGTGACTGCTTCTGAATCCTCCCTCAAGCTTTGAAGATGTGCGCTCACCCTCATAAGAAGCCTGCAATTAGGCTATATAAACTTGTGGTTCACAACCTCCTTTGGAACCTGCTTGTTTAGAAACTCCTGCTTTAGGATATCCATGGTGTGCAACATATGCTATAGGATGAATCTCCTCTCCAGCGTGGTGCAATTCGTCTATTTTTTCATCTCCATCAACGATTCACCACATACAAAGAACAAAAAAGATCTCGACATGGTGCTGCTCTTATCTTTATCATAAGTGTGACGTTTTATTTGCTCAAAATATGGCACTCACATATTAGGTGTGCGGATAGTGGTAGCACAAATACAATCCAAACCGCCGCTGATTGGTCGGACATTCTCATGCTATGTCTGTTAAATCACATGAAAATAATAAAGCCAAATTTGCCTTTAAAACAAGCAATATCCTAGAAGCATGTAAAGGAATAAAAATTTCACCGTAAAACATGTTCACATTGAAATTTGTTTTCCCAAATATCTGGACTTAACTTTAAAAAATATATTCCTTTTAAAATCAGTTTTTTTCACAGTGGATAAAAAATAGATTTCTGCTAGGGAATTCATGATTGTCAAGAAAACACGCCTTTCAACGTCTATGCACTGATCCGCATGTGCAGAGCAAAATGTTGCAACCTTCAAACCTTTCTTTTAGACTATGTCTTTATAGTAAATCTCTGTGTGGAGTCCTCTGGAAGACGGCAATCGCGACCATCAACTGAGTTTCAGCAAACAACACTATTTTTAGCTAGACATATCTTTATGTATTCTAATTTGTTTTCCTTAGTGGCTATTGATTCTATTTTGTTTCTTATCCTTTATAATGATTTTCTGTAATGGTATTTTTACATGACATTTAATTTACCAATATATTCATATTTCTGTATATTTTGCTTGAAATGTTGTGAATTTGATATATTATATTTTGAAGATCTAGATCCATAATTATTGACAGCTGAACCTGTAGGGTTCCTCCTCCCATCCATACCAAGCCCCAGTTCGGATTTTGAGGGAAGCCCCACGCCAAAACTAATAAAATGGCGTGAGGGTCCCCCCCAAAATCCATACCAGACCCTTATCCGAGAATGCAGCCCGGTAGGTCAGGAAAGGGATGGACGAGCGAGCGCCACCCCCCCCTCCTGACCCATACCAGGCCATATGCCCTCAACATGGGGGGGTGCTTTGGGGCAGGGTGGCTCCGCACCCCAAAGCACCTTGTCCCCATGTTGATGGGAACAAGGGCCTCTTGCCCACAACCCTGGGCTGTGGTTGTGGGGGTCTGCGGGCGGGGGGCTTATTGGAATCTAGAAGCCCCCTTTAGCAAGATCCGGCCCCCCCCATGTGAATGAGTATGGGGTACATGGTACCGCTACTCATAAAAAAACCCCCAAAAACTGTAATGTGAAAAAAAGATAGGACACAGTCTTTAACAAGTCCTTTATTAAAAGAAAAAACTAAAAGAATGTCCCTCGCAGTAGATCCAACGTCAATCATGATGTCTGCCACCACCCCAATAAAAGAATTTTAAAAAAGGGCTCCGCTCCCGACGCTGGCTCCCAGCCCTCTGCCTCTCCGCTGGCTTGACACATGGGGCAGGGTCACTCGGGTGATGTCCCTGGAT